TTAGTATTTTATACGTTGTTATCATGAGTGTGTGTGTGTGTACTCACCTAATTGTACTCACCTAATTGTGGTTGCAGGGGTCGAGACTCAGCTCCTGGCCCCGCCTCTTCACTGATCGCTACTGGATCCTCTCTCTCTCTGCTTCCTGAGCTTTGTCATACCTCTTCTTAAAACTATGTATGGTTCCTGCCTCCACTACTTCACTTGCTAGGCTATTCCACTTGCTGACAACTCTATGACTGAAGAAATACTTCCTAACGTCCCTGTGACTCGTCTGAGTCTTCAGCTTCCAGTTGTGACCCCTTGTCCCTGTGTCCCCTCTCTGGAACATCCTATCTCTGTCCACCTTGTCTATTCCCCGCAGTATCTTGTATGTCGTTATCATGTCTCCCCTGACCCTTCTGTCCTCCAGTGTCGTCAATCCGATTTCCCTTAACCTTTCCTCGTACGACATTCCCTTGAGCTCTGGGACTAGCCTTGTTGCAAACCTTTGTACTTTCTCTAACTTCTTGACGTGCTTGACCAGGTGTGGGTTCCAGACTGGTGCTGCATACTCCAGTATGGGCCTAACATACACAGTGTACAGTGTCTTGAACGATTCCTTATTAAGGTATCGGAACGCTATTCTCAGGTTTGCCAGGCGCCCGTATGCTGCAGCGGTTATTTGGTTGATGTGTGCCTCCGGTGATGTGCTCGGTGTTATGGTCACCCCAAGGTCTTTCTCCCTGAGTGAGGTCTGTAGTCTTTGTCCACCTAACCTATACTCTGTCTGCGGTCTTCTTTGCCCCTCCCCAATCTCCATGTCTTTGCATTTGGCTGGATTGAATTCGAGAAGCCAGTTACTGGACCACATGTCCAGCCTCTCCAGGTCTCTTTGCAGTCCTGCCTCATCCTCGTCCGATTTAATTCTTCTCATCAACTTCACGTCATCTGCGAACAGGGACACTTCAGAGTCTATTCCTTCCATCATGTCGTTCACATATATCAAAAATAGCACTGGTCCTAGAACTGACCCCTGTGGGACTCCGCTCGTAACAGGCGCCCACTGTGATACCTCTTCACGTTGCTGCCTCCCTGTCAGGTATTCCCTTATCCATTGCAGTGCCCTTCCTTTTACGTGTGCCTGATCCTCCAGCTTGTGGGGAACTGTGTCAAAGGCCTTCCTGCAGTCTAGGAAAACGCAATCTACCCAACCCTCTCTCTCGTGTCTTACTTCTGTTACCTTGTCATAAAACTCCAGGAGGTTTGTGATACAAGATTTGCCTTCCATGAACCCATGCTGGTTTTCATTTATAATCTTGTTCCTTTCCAGGTGTTCGACCACTCTCCTCCTGATAATCTTCTCCATGACTTTGCACACAATACATGTCAGAGACACAGGTCTGTAGTTTAGTGCCTCGTTTCTGTTTCCTTTCTTAAATATGGGGACTACATTAGCTGTCTTCCATTTCTCAGGTAGTTGCCCAGTTTCAAGGGATGTGTTGAAGATTGTGGTTAGAGGCACACACAGCATCTCTGCTCCTTCTCTAAGGACCCATGGGGAGATGTTGTCCGGTCCCATCGCCTTTGAGGTGTCAAGGTCACTTAAGAGCTTCTTCACCTCCTCCTCAGTTGTTTGTATGTCATCAAACACTTGTTGGTATATTCCCTCTTGATGTTCCCTTCTGTGCTGTCTTCCCACAGCCCTTCCTGTCTCTACTGTAAAAACTTCCTTAAATCTCCTGTTCAGCTCCTCACATACCTCCTGATCATTTCTTGTGAGTTCTCCACCTTCTGTCCTTAATCTGATCACCTGGTCTTTGACTGTTGTCTTCCTCCTGATGTGGCTATACAACAGTTTCGGGTCAGTCTTGATTCTCGATGCTATGTCATTTTCATACTGTCGCTGGGCCTCCCTCCTTACCTGTGCGTACTCATTCCTGGCTCTGCGACTGATCTCCCTATTTTCGTGTGTTCTCTGCCTTCTGTACTTTTTCCATTCTCTATTGCACTTTGTTTTTGCCTCCTTACACCGTCGGGTAAACCAGGGGTTTGTTCTGGTCTTCCCGTTGTTACTGTTGCCCTTGGGAATGAACCTTTCCACTGCCTCCTTGCATTTTGTTGCTACATATTCCATCATTTCATTTACTGGCTTTCCTGCCAGTTCTCTGTCCCACTGGACCTCCCGCAGGAAGTTCTTCAACCCTATGTAGTCCCCTCTTTTATAGTCAGGCTTTTCCCATTCTACTCCTGTTATTCTCTCCACTTGCAGCTCTACTATGTATTCAAAGCACAGAACCACGTGTGTGTGTGCGTGTGTATGTGTATGTGTGTGTGTGTGTGTGTGTGTGTGTGTGTGTGTGTGTGTTCGCTGACTTACCGGTCCACCCCTTTAAAAAATGTAGTTATAACTTTAACCATTAGACAGATAATAAAAACGGGTCGTACTATTACCTAGCCACGCAGGAGAGAGCCTTCTACTATTTTTTTTTAATCCTCGACCCGTCCAATAAGCTTCTCCCCAACCTACACAAGAAGTAAATTTTGAACAGATAGCCTAGGCTGAGGATATCCAGGTCCTCATCTATCATACTGCTGATAGTATACCTCAAATATTATACCACCAACATATTATACCACCAATATGGTAGCTTGTGCTGGCATGGGAGGTACCTGGTGTGGTTACCACTTGTCCTCACACTACCAGAGACTCCCTCACCAACTACCACCTTCACTATCATCGCACTTACTGCTTTGCAGTCTTCCGTTCCTCCGATATATGACATGGTGTCTAAGAGGCGGCGATTTTAATATGGTCATGTTAAGACCAATTCCCATGTATCTTTTGACTGCTCGGTGAAATATGCTACCGTTATGTTGTTACCCAGTACCTCCGGTACATAACCCAGTACATAATCGAGTACAATCAGTACATAACCCAGTACACAACCGAGTACCACCAGCACACAACCCAGTACCACCAGTACACAACCCAGTACCACCAGTACACAACCCAGTACCACCAGTACACAACCCAGTACCACCAATACACAACCCAGTGCCACCAGTACATAACCCAGTACCACCAATACACAACCCAGTGCCACCAGTACATAACCAGTACATACGCACCTGCACTATCAGGATGACCATGTTATCCCATCCTTATCGCGCCATATCTAAATCCCTGAAATGCCTTCAGGATTATCCTGTTATCCAGCGTTGCTAAGCAGGGATTAGGACCAGCAATCCCCTGGTATGTACCTGTTGTTCCCTTTTTAGGGGTTTCCCTAAAATGACGACCCTAAATATGGATGTTTAAGATTCTTCCCTAAAATGACAACCCTAAACATGGATGTTTAAGATTCTTCCCTAAAATGACGACCCTAAACATGGATGTTTAAGATTCTTCCCTAAAATGACGACTCTAAACATGAATATTTTAGGGTTTCTCTTAAATTAAGACCCTAAACATAAATATTTTAGGGGTTTTCCCTAAAATAATGCCCCTAAACATGGATGTTTAAGGATTTCCCCCTTAAAATATTTTTGTTATTGTTGTTGTTATTGCTATTGTTTGTAATTTGGTGTTTGTTACAGTTATTGCAGCTTTTATTGTTGTACTCGTAGATTTTATTAACTGTGGTGGAGGTCTTCTGGTTGCTTTTGTTGGTGAAGGTTTTAATTATTTGCTGCTGTTGTTATTGTTACTGTTGTTTTTACTGTTGTTATTGTTGCTATTATTATTAGTGTTGCTATTGTTGGTGCTATTTTTGCTGTTGTTATTATTGTTGAATTTGTTGTTAATGTTGTATTTTTGTTATTGTTACAGTTATCGTTACTATTGTTATTGTTGTATGTGTCGTTATTGTTTGAGTTATTGTTGTTATTGTGATGATTACTGTTGATACTGTTGTTATTGTTTATGTTGTAATTGTTATTACTGATGATATTGTTATTATTGTTATTCTTATTTCTGCTATTGTTATTGTTATTATTTGTGATATATTTGTTATTGATGTTATTTTGGTTGATATTGTTTTTGTAATATTTGCTATTATTTTTGTTACTGTTGTTTTTATTTTGTTATTGCTGTTACTGTTGTTATATTGCTGTTGTTTTTATTGTTGCAAAAAGCATTTTCTTCCTCAGGCGAAAAATTTCACTTGAAGCAGCAGGTGTTAGTCGTACGACGACGCACTCAGCAGCAGGTGTTAGTCGTACGACGACGCACTCAGCAGCAGGTGTTAGTCGTACGACGACGCACTCAGCAGCAGGTGTTAGTCGTACGACGACGCACTCAGCAGCAGGTGTTAGTCGTACGACGACGTACTCAGCAGCAGGTGTTAGTCGTACGACGACGCACTCAGCAGCAGGTGTTAGTCGTACGACGACGCACTCAGCAGCAGGTGTTAGTCGTACGACGACGCACTCAGCAGCAGGTGTTAGTCGTACGACGACGCACTCAGCAGCAGGTGTTAGTCGTACGACGACGCACTCAGCAGCAGGTGTTAGTCGTACGACGACGCACTCAGCAGCAGGTGTTAGTCGTACGACGACGCACTCAGCAGCAGGTGTTAGTCGTACGACGACGCACTCAGCAGCAGGTGTTAGTCGTACGACGACGCACTCAGCAGCAGGTGTTAGTCGTACGACGACGCACTCAGCAGCAGGTGTTAGTCGTACGACGACGCACTCAGCAGCAGGTGTTAGTCGTACGACGACGCACTCAGCAGCAGGTGTTAGTCGTACGACGACGCACTCAGCAGCAGGTGTTAGTTGTACGACGACGCACTTAACAGCCACAGCAAAATTAAAAGATATATATGAAGGTGCGTCGGTGTGTGTGTGTGTGTGTGTGTGTGTGTGTGTGTGTGTGTGTGTGTGTGTGTGTGTGTGTGTGAGTGTGTGTGTGTGTGTGTACGTATTCTTAATATACGTATGTTCGTAAGTTTCTAGCATAAGGGATGACACTATAAGGCACTCTAAGGCCTGGCACTAACCCCAGCACAACTTTGCAGGCAAGACGAGGACGAAGGACAAGTACAGAGTTGTGTACAGCGACCACCAGAGACTCGAACTGGAGAAAGAATTCCACTACTCCCGGTACATCACCATCAGGAGGAAGTCAGAGCTAGCGTCCATGCTGGGACTCTCTGAGAGACAGGTGAGGCACACTCCCACATGTTGGGACTCTCTGAGAAACAGATGAGGCACACTCCCACATGTTGGGACTCTCTGAGAAACAGGTGAGGCACACTCCCACATGTTGGGACTCTTTGAGAGACAGGTGAGGCACACTCCCACATGTTAGGACTCTCTGAGAGACAGATGAGGCACACTCCCACATGTTGGGACTCTCTGAGAGACAGGTGAGGCACACTCCCACAAGTTGGGACTCTCTGAGAGACAGGTGAGGCACACTCCCACATGTTACGACTCTCTGAGAGACAGGTGAGGCACACTCCCACATGCTGGGACTCTCTGAGAGACAGATGAGGCACACTCCGACATGTTGGGACTCTCTGAGAGATAGGTGAGGCACACTCCCACATGTTGGGACTCTTTGAGAGACAGGTGAGGCACACTCCCACATGTTGAGACTCTCTGAGAGACAGATGAGGCACACTCCCACATGTTAGGACTCTCTGAGAGACAGGTGAGGCACACTCCCACATGTTGGGACTCTCTGAGAGACAGGTGAGGCACACTCCCACATGCTGAGACTCTCTGAGAGACAGATGAGGCACACTCCCACATGTTAGGACTCTGAGAGACAGGTGAGGCACACTCCCACATGTTGGGACTCTCTGAGAGACAGGTGAGGCACACTCCCACATGTTAGGACTCTCTGAGAGACAGGTGAGGCACACTCCCACATGCTGGGACTCTCTGAGAGACAGATGAGGCACACTCCGACATGTTGGGACTCTCTGAGAGATAGGTGAGGCACACTCCCACATGTTAGGACTCTCTGATAGATAGGTGAGGCACATTCCCACATGTTAGGACTCTCTGAGAGACAGGTGAGGCACACTCCGACATGTTGGGACTCTCTGAGAGACAGATGAGGCACACTCCCACATGTTGGGACTCTCTGAGTGACAGGTGAGGCACACTCCCACATGTTGGGACTCTCTGAGAGACAGGTGAGACACACTCCCACATGTTGGGACTTTCTGAGAGACAGATGAGGCACACTTCGACATGTTGGGACTCTCTGAGAGATAGGTGAGGTACACTCCCACATGTTAGGACTCTCTGAGAGACAGGTGAGGCACACTCCCACATGTTAGGACTCTCTGAGAGATAGGTGAGGCACACTCCTACATGTTAGTACTCTCTGAGAGACAGGTGAGGCACACTCCCACATGATGGGACTCTCTGAGAGGCAGATGAGGCACACTCCCACATGTTGGGACTCTCTGAGAGACAGGTGAGGCACACTCCCACATGTTGGGACTTTCTGAGAGACATGAGGCACACTTCGACATGTTGGGACTCTCTGAGAGATAGGTGAGGCATACTCCCACATGTTAGGACTCTCTGAGAGACAGGTGAGGCACACTTCCACATGTTGGGACTCTGAGTGACAGGTGAGGCACACTTTCACATGTTGGGACTCTCTGAGAGACAGGTGAGTCACATTCCCACATGTTGGGACTCTCTGAGAGACAGGTGAGGCACACTCCCACATGTTAGTACTCTCTGAGAGGCAGATGAGGCACACTCCCACATGTTGGGACTCTCTGAGAGACAGGTGAGGCACACTCCCACATGTTGGGACTCTCTGAGAGACAGATGAGGCACACTCCCACATGATGGGAAGTACAGTGTCTGCACTCTGAAGGAGGGGTGTTAATGTTGCAGTTTTATAACTGTAGTGTAAGTGCGCCTCTGGCAAGACAGTGATGGAGTGAATGATGATGAAAGTTATTCTTTTTCTGGCCACCCTGCCTTGGTGGGAGACGGCCGATGTGTTAATATAATAATAAAAACTGCATGTGTCACATATGTGATAATAAACATATGTAATAATAACATATGTAATAATAAGCACGGCATATGTCACATATGTCATAATCAACATTATGTACCACACATGTCATAATAGACACTATGGTGGCATGGTGGCTAAAGTTCTTGCTTCACACTGTGAGGGTCTGGGTTTGATTCCCAGCCAGGGTAGAAACATGGGTCGTGTTTCTTTACGCCTGTTGTCTATGTTCACCCATCAATAAAATGGGTACCTGGGTGTTAGTCGACTAGTGTGGGTTGCATCCTGGGACACGACCTAATTTGCCTGAAATGCTCAGTATAACAAGTGGCTTTCTATATAGTAGTATGTCATTGATGTCAGCTAGGCCTGTATACCTTGTACATGTACTTGTAGTAAATAACGATTATTATTATTATTATTTTTATCATTATTATTATTATTTCAAAATAAACACTGCATGTGCCACATATATTATAATAAACATCTCTACCCCTGCCTTAACTAACATTCTCTGTCTCTGCTGCAGGTCAAGATCTGGTTCCAGAACCGGCGAGCCAAGGAGAGGAAGCAGATGAAGAAGAGAGACGAACTCATGCAGAAGGAGAAGCTGGAGAGCGTACAGTACCATACACCCACGGTCACCTCGGTGCCGCCCATGCAACCCATGCACCCCCACGTCTCCAGCGCCCAGCACCTGCCCTCCTCCAAGCCTCTAATGATGGATGTGAAGCCCATCCTGGGGCTTGATTGACCAGAGCCTGCCTTGTATTGGAGTCAGTGACCTGCCTTTGACCTATGACCTTGCCTCGGACACACTCATCTCTCATGGATGCGAATACCTGGAGTGAGCAAGGCACCTGTGGCAGCCATGGGTGCCAGGATCCTGGTGCCACCTAGTGTTGGCAATAGTCGTGATACAGTCCCTGGTGCTTAATAGTGACGGCCCTACCATTCCACCTCTTCAAAAAAAATGTGATATGACATATTCATCTTTAAACTGGATATTGTAAATTATGGGTTTGGTAGCAGAGTTGTGGAATGTTTGTGGGCAGGACCGTGACACTCAAGGAGAGAGGGACCGTTGATGGAGGAAGTGTGATTAACTCCGGAGTTTTGAGAAGTTTGTGGGGAGGATTGTGATCAATACCATGAGTGTGGGACGTTTGTGGGGAGGATTGTGATCAATATCATGAGTATGGGACGTTTGTGGGGAGGATTGTGATCAATACCATGAGTGTGGGACGTTTGTGGGGAGGATTGTGATCAATACCATGAGTGTGGGACGTTTGTGGGGAGGATTGTGATCAATACCATGGGTGTGGGACGTTTGTGGGGAGGATTGTGATCAATATCATGAGTGTGGGATGTTGTGAGAAGGAGTGTGATCAATAACATAAGTGTGGGACGTTTGTGTGGAGAAGTGTGACAATAAACAGTTTGTTTTGCAGCTGACGAAGCGGAAATAACGTGTATAGTGACACAGATGCGGCGTGAGGGACACGCAGTCAGTGTGGCCAGGAGGAAGAGGTATTTTTACAATGACAAACATCCTCACAAGGATCATCGCTGCTGAACACAAGCCTCATGAAATACAACATGCACACGGGGCAAAATAAATACCATGAGTGACAATATATAAGAGGGAATGTGTTCCTTTTTTTTAAGTCACGAGGTTACCAAGTCATGTAAACGCTACAATAAAAGACCGTCTGGGTGTTACTGTAAAGGTCTTTAAAGGTCAAGGTTAATATACTCCAATTATAAGGCACGCTGTAGTAACGGCACGAGAGACTTTACTAGTGATGTCTAAGGTGTAAGATAAATTACAACAATGTGTGTGTGTTTATATGATTGTATATATATATATATATATATATATATATATATATATATATATATATATATATATATATATATATATATATATATATATATATATATATATATATATATATATATATATATATATATATATATATATATATATATATATATATATATATATATTATATATATACATAATCATAATACAGCACGCTGATTTTATTTCTGCGTACAGAAATAAATCGTAGACTTCATTTTTGTCAGAATTAGATGAATTTACGGCTGTAATTTTAATATTTACTCTTGTAAGGAAAAGTAGGTAGCCAGCACAAGTTTATCGAATATTCCGAGCGCAGGTACTGTTAAATGTCCTGCGGTACCTGGCTGTCAAGGTATAATACCTGCAGGGATTCAATCAATATTTAAATTCAATAATGTTAAAGGCAAAATCATATTTTGTGTATCCATGTATTCCCACCACCAATAATATTTACAATATGATCTTAGGACCTTGGCAGATACGGTATTATAAGCAATTTAATAAACTAGAGGGTAAGAAGCGTACTCTCGAAGGTTACACCTGCGCCCATACTGAGTACAGAACTCTAGTATATTATAATCTGCTGAAAGCAGGCGAGGTACGTACCAGAGTTCTATACTCAGTAAGGGCACAGGTCTAACCTTCGACAGTACTCTTCCTGCTCTCTCGTTTGTTAAATTGCTTATAACACCGTATCTATCAAGGTCTTATGGACCACCTTGTAGTATGCTGTTGCTCTTAGTATTATTCGATAATTTTGGTGATTGAGTTTTTCAGGTATTATGTCTTATCAGCCAGGTACCACAAGCCATTTTAACAGTACCTGTGTTCATAAAAGTAATATAACTCAGGAAAATGAAAATGCATTTTCTTGACACGACCAGAATTGGGGTCATGACACGACCAGGGGGCGTCATAACGGCTTGCCTGTCACAGCCGAGGAAGAGATGGAAACTGCTGGTATTCTTCTGTGGCAACTGGGGAAAGATCTCTGTTCTCGAGTCTGGGGGCATTTGTTCAGCTCAAGTGCTACCCCGAGCACGCTGGGTTCTCAAAGAACCTCGGGTCTCCAAGAACCCGGGATCTGCAAGCATACTGGACAGCATGCAGCCTGGGATAACTTCAACAACTTAGGGGCTTACTGTAACAATGTCTGTTTTATCTGGAGTTTATCTGGAGAGAGTTCCGGGGGTCAACGCCCCCGCGGCCCGGTCTGTGACCAGGCCTCCTTAGGTCAGTGTCCCAGGATGCGACCCACACCAGTCGACTAACACCCAGGTACCCATTTTACTGATGGGGAACATAGACAACAGGTGGAAAGAAACACGTCCAATGTTTCTACTCTGGCTGGGAATCGAACCCAGGCCCTCACCGTGTGAAGCGAGAGCGTTAACCACCAGGCCACCAGGTCTGGATTGTTGTACTACGTCGGAAGTTTCAGGAAGTTTCAGTTAACAGGTTCCTTTCAGCAACATGAGGAGAAGCAATAACATAAAATAATAGGAACACTAATGGAACACTAATGGACGAAGTCTTGCATTTGATGTCCAGGGACATCGTTGCTGCTTGTCGCTAAGCTGAGTTGACCTCAACTGATGGTGAGGTCACATCAGCTCTCTTGTAAATACTGTATATTGACACGTTTGTTCCTTTTATCGTGACCTGGCTGGGGTCACCAGCAATGACCCAGTGAGAGGTTAACAGTCTCCCAGTGACAAATTTTAGCGTGAGTTGCAAGAAGGATCCCCCATGACACGAGGGCTCTGTCAACGGTCAGGGGTCAGGGGTCAGGGGTCAAGTGCTCCATAACATTAATCTGAATTGTGATGTACATGTCTTAATGTTTCAGTAATTTATTGACGTTATTTTTGGGATGAGTTGATAGAAATATTTCTAAGTCCTACCTTACACTCCACCCTTACCATACACTCCACCCCTACCTCATACTCCACCCCTACCATACACTCCATCCCTACCTCATACTCCACCCCTACCTTACACTCCATCCCTACCTTACACTCCATCCCTACCTTACACTCCATCCCTGCCTTACATTCCATCCCTACCTTACACTCCATCCCTACCTTACATTCCATCCCTACCTTACACTCCATCCCTACCTTACATTCCATCCCTACCTTACACTCCATCCCTACCTTACATTCCATCCCTACCTTACACTCCACTCATACCTCACACTCCATCCCTACCTTACACTCCACCCTACCTCACACTCAACCCCTACCATACACTCCATCCCTACCTCATACTCCACCCCTACCATACACTCCATCCCTACCTTACACTCCACCCCTACCTTACACTCCACCCTACCTCACACTCCACCCCTACCTTACACTCCATCCCTACCTTACATTCCATCCCTACCTTACACTCCACTCCTACCTTACACTCCCCCCCTACCTTACACTCCATCCATACCTCACACTCCACCCCTACCTTACACTCCACCCCTAACTTACACTCCACCCCTACCTTACACTCCACCCCTACCTCATACTCCACCCATACCTCACACTCCACCACTACCTCACACTCCACCCCTACCTCACACTCCACCCTACCTTACACTCCACCCCTACCTTACACTCCACTCCTATCTTACACTCCACCCCTACCTTACACTCCACCCCTACCTCACACTCCACCCCTACCTTACACTCCACCCCTACCTCCCACTTCATCCCTACCTTACACTCCACCCCTACCTCATACTCCACCCCTACCTCATACTCCACCCCTACCTCATACTCCACCCCTACCTCACACTCCACCCCTACCTTACACTCCACCCCTACCTCACACTCCACCCCTACCTTACACTCCACCCCTACCTCACACTCCACTCGTACCTTACACTCCACCCCTACCTCACACTCCACCCCTATCTCACACTCCACCCCTACCTTACACTCCACCCCTACCTTACACTCCACCCCTACCTCACACTCCACCCTACCTTACACTCCACCCCTACCTTACACTCCACTCCTATCTTACACTCCACCCCTACCTTACACTCCACCCTACCTCACACTCCACCCCTACCTTACACTCCACCCCTACCTCACACTTCACCCCTACCTTACACTCCACCCCTACCTCATACTCCACCCCTACCTCACACTCCACCCCTACCTCGTATTCTACCCCTACCTCACACTCCACCCCTACCTTACACTCAACCCCTACCTCACACTCCACCCCTACCTTACACTCCACCCCTACCTTACACTCCACCCCTACCTTACACTCCACCCCTACCTCACACTCCACCCCTATCTTACACTCCACCCCTACCTTACACTCCACCCCTACCTCACACTCCACCCCTATCTTACACTCCACCCCTACCTTACACTCCACCCCTACCTCACACTCCACCCCTACCTCACACTCCACCCCTACCTCACACTCCACCCCTACCTCACACTCCACCCCTACCTCACACTCCACCCCTACCTTACACTCCACCCTACCTTACACTCCACCCCTGCCTCACACTCCACCCCTACCTTACACTCCATCCCTACCTTACATTCCATCCCTACCTTACACTCCGCCCCTAACTTACACTCCACCCCTACCTTACACTCCAACTTTAATTCACACTCCAACACTAAATCACACTCCAGCACTAGGTCACACTCCACTCCTACTTCATACTCCAACACTAGCTCACTTTCCAACACTGGCTCACACTCCAACACTAGGTCACACTTCACCACTAACTCTCACTCCAACACTAGCTTACTCTCCAATACTAGTTCACACTCCAACACTAGGTCATACTCCAACATTAGGTCACACTCCACTCCTACCTCATACTCCAACATTAGGTCACACTTCACTCCTACCTCATACTTCAACACAAGCTTACTCTCCAACACTTGCCCCCACTTCAACACTAGGTCACACACCAGCACTAGGTCACACTTCACTCCTACCTCATACTCCAACACTAGGTCACACTCCACTCCTACCTCATACTCCAACACTAGCTCACGCACCATCACTAGGTCACGCTCCACTCCTACCTCATGCTCGAACACTAGCTTACTCTCCAACACTTGCCCCCACTTCAACACTAGCTCATACTCCAACACTAGGTCACCCTCCACTCCTACCTCATACTCCAACACTAGCTCACACTCCACACCTATCTCACACTCGACAAACGAGTCATAGGGATGGCAGGAAGCATTACTTTAGCCTCAGGGTTCACAGAGGAATGACTTGGACGAGGCAGCAGTGGAGGTGACGGTTTAATATGCAGCTCGAGTATGTATATGACTCGAGAGCCCAGAATTCAATGATACCGACCAAAGTAGCGTAGGAGGAGGGGCCAGGAGCTGTGTGTCGACCTCCAGTAAACACAACTCGATGGTTCAGACCCACAAACTGTGTTCTGATCTAAAATGACAAATTTCTCTATTACTGATCACTTCCTTTTGAGGTAAAATTGAATTGAGTTCAGATACGTAAAATATTGTGAGAGTCGAAGCGTGGTCCTTGTACGTAGCACGCCCAGTACTGGGCGTACGTGGTCCTTGTACGTAGCACGCCCAGTACTGGGCGTACGTGGTCCTTGTACTCCCAGTACTGAGTCACCCACGAGGGTTGTAATAGGATGATTTTTACAACGAGTACTTTCGTGAGATGAATGTATCATGCCACAGAGGAATGAAGATTGAGACAGTTATGCAACATATGGGAATCTTTACTAAGGAAACGTTTCGCCACACAGTGGCTTCATCAGTCCAATGCAAAGGAAAGGTGTAAGGAGAGGAGGAATTTGAGGTAATCAGTCCCTTAACCTGGAGTCGATGTGTTCAGTCCATCAATCTTGTAGAATGTGACATTCTACAAGATTGATGGACTGAACACATCGACTCCAGGCTGAGGGACTGAT